ATACAGCAACTAAGAAGGATGTGCAGCTATGACATACAACTATCTACTGGGGCTTTGGGGGAAAAAATAAATAAATAAAAATTATTAAAAAAAATAAAATAAAATATTCACATTAAGTAATTTTTAAAAGATAGTTTATTAAGAAACACAATTTGATTCCTTGCATTAGTTGTTTATGCAAATTATTATGCAAAATTTATTTCCATGGAGGTAATGAGTAGGGTCTCTGTAGAATAAGTTTCATCTAGTTGGAGCATTTCTATAATACTGTCCTTCATATTTGAATCTTCATCACTTATTTTCTGGTGGGAAAGATTAATAAAATATTATGTTATTATAAAATCAAGCTGAACTACCCAGCATGGAAGATATTTCCTTGCAAGGTTATTTTCTTGAATTATTAAAGATTATTTCACATAGAACTTAATTATGCTTCTCTGTCCCTTTTTTTTCTTTAAACATTTATTTTATTTTATTTTTATTTTGTGAGGAAGATCAGCCCTGAGCTAACATCCATGCCAATCCTCCTCTTTTTGCTGAGGAAGACTGGCCCTGGGCTAACATCTGTGCCCATCTTCCTCCACTTTATATGGGATGCCGCCACAGCATGGTCTGACAAGCAGTGCGTTGGTGCGCACCCGGGATCTGAATCCGGGCCGCCAGCAGCGGAGCGCCTGCACTTAACTGCTAAGCCACAGTGCCAGCCCCTCTCTGTCCCTTTTATTATATGGTCAGTCCGTAAATGCCAGATTCAAAGTTTCTGTCAGGAAGAATTATTTTTCAGTCAGCCTTAAGAACAGGGAGGGAGGAGAGGAAAGAGTGAGAGAGAACAAAAAGAGGAACCTTCAATTATATTTCACACCCTTAATTGATGACTTTTATAGTAATTGGGGTGTAGAGGGAAACTACAAATAAAATTGAAACATAGTCTGTGACCTAAATCTGTTGTTTTTGTTATTGCTAACATGTTAATAACAAAAATACTATTCATGGTTTAAATTTTTCCTTTTCTTTTTCGTCTTTTGCCTTTCTGTCTATTCTAAAAAGGCACTTAGGGGGAAAAAAGAACCTTGGAAAGGATCTTGAAGGAAGAGAGAGTATAAAAGCAGTAGACAAGATGCGTGAGCATTTCCTCATGTGTTTTAGTGGGGTGTGTGATGAGAGGTGTGCCCGTGAGGGAGCTTCAGCTCTGTATGAATGAGTCATCCTATTTTCAGCCCATTGGGGCTCTCTGGCCTCTGCAAGTCCAGGAAGTTACAGGCTTGGGGAGCTGGTTCTTTTGTTGGTAGTATCATTTAATTTTAATTCTCAACACACCAGTCCTTTTCTTACAAAAAGCTTTGCTACAAGGTTAGTAGGATGAGTAATAAAGGCTCTCTTGGGTCATATGGGTAACACCGGAAAATGACAGAAATAGAAGAAAGAAATAAAGAGTACTTTAAAAAAACAAGGTACTTGGCTTGGAAGGAGGGCAGAGTTGAATCAAAGACCCAGAAGAGATGCTATAAAACTAAATTATTTAAGTAAAAAAATAAAGGAAAAAAGAAACTTGGTTAGTCTGCATAGTATATTTTGATCTTTTAATGGTCTGTCAGTGTCGTTTGTCGTGCTTATTTTTAGTTGGAAAGATGTTGGTTGCAGAACACGACTTGGCTGCCTGGTGTGGTAACAGTGGTCTCTGGTATTTAATATCTACAGCCTGACTTGTATGTGGTGGTGGGTGGTGATGGTGATTGTGATTGTCAGGAGGCTTTCGCAAAAACAATCTTCTTTCTTGTGCTTGCCAGATTTTCGCCTGATGGAAGACTAATTGTATCATGTAGTGAGGATAAAACTATTAAAATTTGGGATACCACAAATAAGCAGTGTGTTAACAACTTTTCGGATATTCTAGGGTAAGTCCATTCTCTTTGTACATTTACGTAGGGCTAGTTTGCTAAGGAGACATTTAATTATTACAATTCAAATAAAGAAATGAGAGTAAAGAAATCAAAATGTTGGACCATCTTGTTCTTTCCTCTTAGGTTTGCAAATTTTGTGGATTTTAACCCTAATGGTACATGCATAGCTTCAGCAGGTTCTGATCATACTGTGAAAATCTGGGATATAAGAGTGAACAAATTACTCCAACATTATCAAGGTAACAATTTCCATAACAAAAAAATTCAGCCGTTAAGTGGACTCCTCTGGGAAACTCTTAAACTGACAAGACTATCCTCCTCAGTGTTTGGCCCTCTTAATGAGAGTCACGGGCTGCCTTTGAACTGACTAGAGAACAGTTAGCCCCCATCAACAGCGGGGACCGAGAAGCTGGGGCAGATGCCAGAGTGGAGAGGGAGGCGGAGGACCTTGAAAATGATGCCAGGGCTGTAAAAAGTGAAGTTACTGTGAGATTTGTAAACTCTGGTTATCTGCATTATATGAGAAGTCAAGGGTAGAAGTGAACTCAGAAGGAGTTATGTGAGCACAAAGAGGTGTTATAACTGAGAGAAGACGACATTCTACTGTGCCTATGTATTGTATGTAGAGGAAATGAATTAATTTCTTGATTTATATTGGATTTATATTAAATCCACATTTTCCTTTCTTAATAAGTGTAATACCATGTGGCAGATACTGTGCTAAATCCTCACAACAGCATTAAGAGGTATTGTTATTACCCCCATTTTAAAGATAAGGAAATTGAGGCTTAAAGAGGGTAAGTAACTTTCTAAAATAATTGATAGAACAGACTTGGGTCTTTGTGTTTACACAGTACATGGAAGAACAAACTTTTGATCACTGTGTTATACTGCCTCCTACTGGAGGGTGTGTCCAGAAATGAATTCTCAAACAAGCTGGCAAGACTATGCCTTTCTCCAGATATATCTCTACACTGTTCACCCCTTAGTCCCAAGCTACTAATTGGTTATTATAAATCTAACTTAATGGTAGGTTGTATACCTATGTGAGCTGGTGGTAATCAGCTGTTGGTTGTATTGGTAATATATCTGAAGACTTTCTAGTTATGTGGTTAACAAGATCATCTTTCTATGACACTCTCATTTTTAAAGCTATTCTGTCTCATTAGCTGGAAGCTTAAGCTGTATAATGCCCAACTGCTTACTTGTTTTAATGAGCTGTATGGAATTTTGGTGTTGTGGAGACATTGTCTCTAATTGATTCTTGTTTTCAAACTAATATTGCTAATAGGGCAAAGGGGCATCTTTAGAATTAAGAATTGTTCTCTGAACTTTTTGCTTTTATTTTTCACAAATCAGTTCACAGTGGTGGAGTTAATTGTGTATCGTTCCATCCGTCTGGTAACTACCTCATCACTGCTTCTTCAGATGGTACACTTAAGATTCTGGATCTCTTGGAAGGAAGACTCATATATACACTTCAAGGACATACGGTATTAACACTAAGATTTTTGCTTTTTAAATAATATATGTTTTAAAGTTTTGATCCATTTTAGTATATGTCTTTATTATTTTTCCAAGTGTAGCACACATCGCTGTTATCACAAAAAATTTTTGCTTCTAAGGCTATGTTTTTATCCTCTGGAAGCAAATATCTTAGAAATATTATTTATTGTAATTCTTGTCAAAATCAATGTGTATCTTTCAATGGCCATTAAATTAGTCTTCCACTGTGGTCTTCATCAGTATGTAGTATAGGTTTGACTGGTTAAATGGTGATAGAGAAATTTTTTCCCTACTTCTGATCTTTCCCCTTATGTGGAGGCTGTCCCACAAGCTCTGATACTCTTGGCCTCTTACCCCCGTCACTCATTCCTTTCACCAATCTGATTGGTGAATTTAGAAGGAAAATTTGACAAATAGAGCCCAATACCTTCTACTCTAGGGAGTGAGCCTGACCTCACTGTTTTCCTCTGACGTTTCTTGTGGGGAGGACTGCCCTTGTCCAGTCTTGCTTGTGACCAGATGCTCAGATCTGACTCCTTCTGGGATTCAGTTCTAGAAAGCCCATTTGCCCACAGATAAAGCCACATTCTCTCTTTTCAAGCCTTGATCAGTAAGAAAGATGACATCTTGGCTCTCCTATGCCTTATTCTTTTGCCTTATTTCTCAACTGGTTTAGAACCCATTGGGGAAGAGGCATGCTATTTATTGAGCCTGTTCAATCACACACCCACACACACACACACACTCACACTGGCATATAATGCACTAAAGAAAAACTTGTGTGTGTATAAACTATTCTTCCTTTCTGCATAAGTATTCAAACTTCTCTAAATTTTTTAGACTGCACCCTCTTTTTTTTTTTAAGATGTACTAGGTACTTCCTTTTAACCAAGCATAAGCTGTTTATATCCAGAAATAGAATGGGCTTTGTGGTCCAGGGGAGAAGAGGTTGTCTCTGCCTTCATACATCCTGCCTGGCTTCCTGCTTTGCTTTATCATTTGTTCTGCAGCTGTGTTAGAGTGAAGCAGAAATAGACACTAACCAGCTCAGATATATGCGTATCCATGGATTTAGGCTAAATAAACAACCAATAAAAGTGGCCAAGGATTAAAATATCCATGGAAGAAGTACAGAATAATAGAAAGAAAGATAAACACAGTATTTTAGGAGAAAAACACTATATACGAAGATGGAATTTTTCACAGTCTGGAGGTGAAGGTATTTATGAGGCTATAATAACCTAGATCTGTGGGATTGTCTACTTGAAAAATGCAGGATGTTTTTCCCCCCAAATTTTCTTGTATAGATTGCCACATGAAAAAACCCAGAATACACTAGTATTCCTGAGATAAGAAACAATTACTCTTATCTTGACTGAAAAATTGACCTAGAAGCTATGCATCTTGTGACTGTGCCAAGTGGAGTCTTGTCCAACTCCACAGTCATTGCTCAATTTCAAGTTCTCATTGCCTCTCACCCAGATAATTGCAGTGTCTTCCTAACTGGCCTCCAACCATTCATTCTTACTCCAATTCATCATTCTTACTCCAGTTCATCATTCTTACAATTGTGATCTCAATTTTCATCAATCACAGCTCTCCTCCTATCTGTATCCTGTGTTGAGAACTTTTAGTGGCTTACTGTTGCCCATGTGGAGGGAGAACTCAGTGAAGCCCGCTGTGGTCAGGAAATGGCTTTGTTCACAGAGCCTCCTTCCCGTCACCTACAGAGTTATCATTCGGTTTCTGCTAGTGATTTGTTGAATAAAGAGCCCAGAGCTAGAAAATCTTAACACAAATTCTTATCAGCTTACACAGGTACAAGCTTTTCTTTAAAGGAAAAACAGAGTGTATTTTCTTATTTTTATTAGTATTGCTTTTTATTTAGTATTGTTTATATATATCAATTATATATCCTTTATATGTTTAGTATCATTATATGTCATTATCATTAATATATATATCGTCATTATATATTTAGTATCATTAGTGATTTATATCATTATATCATTGATAAAAATATGTATTTTTTTATTTATACCATTTAGTATTATTTATATGTGTTTTAATATAATTGGGTGGGTTCTTTGATTATGTTTATTCTGCCCGCATTAGTTGAACAGCAACTGGATGTGTTCTATCACACTTATTGCATAAATGGTCTATGTAAAATTAAGACAAAAAATTAATACTCAGAGTCTTCTTGGCCATGAGAAAACATCACCAAGTGCTCTTTTCTTTTATCTCCCTTTGTTTCTTAGGGGCCTGTCTTTACTGTTTCATTTTCAAAAGGTGGCGAGCTATTTGCATCAGGAGGTGCAGATGCACAGGTTTGTAAATCTTCCCATTCCCTCTTTGATTTGGTCGGGGTAAGGGAATCCAAGACCTCAGCTAAGATTTTCACAACCTGCTGGTTTGTAGATGTTAAGATGATTATCAATGAGTTTATATTTTAATTTAATGCCAGGAAGTCTGCTGTCTCATAGGTGAAATAGTGCCAGTCCTGATAGTTTTTGGAACTCAGATAGCGGTTATTTTCTTTGGCTCATCTGTACACTTCATTATACATGTAACTGACACTTACTAAATGCCCAATATCAGTGTTGTATTTTCACTGGAATTATTGCCTAATCTTTTATCTGTATGTCTTGTTTTTCAAATGTTTAGTTTCTTGAGGATGGTAAATATAAATTTTTTATGTATCAAATCTGCATTTATTTGAAATGACCAAAAGTCATTTGTAGCTAGATTTATTGAATAAGGTAGACTATCAAGCCAAAAACATGGTGTTGGGCTTTGGAAAAAAAAAAAACAAAAAGAGGATTTTAAGGTAAGTTATTTTCTTAATATGAATTTTAAACTGAACATAAAGGTAATTCAAAATGCTAAATCTCTCCCCCCCGCCTTTAAAAAAAGTATTGAGAAGTAATAACGTAGTTGAAATATATACTATCTAGTCTTCCTGACTATTTTGAAGGACAATTCTGTGTATTCATTTTTTAAAAAATCAGTTCTATTGCTTGTACATGTAAGTCAGTAACTGCCAAAATGATTAATTTTTTATAGGTCTTATTATGGAGGACTAACTTTGATGAATTGAATTGTAAAGATATTATTAAAAGAAATCTCAAAAGATTACATTTTGATTCACCACCACATCTTGTGGATATCTACCCAAGAACACCACATCTCCACGAGGGAAAAATTGAGACTGTTGAAGTGAGTACTTCTTTTTTTTTTCATTTGTCCTATTATTTGAAAGTGTACATTTTGGAACTATTGGTCAACTAGATGCTTGAAATTATGCTTAATTATATAAAACCTAGTCCTGCCTTAAAACAGCAGCACTTTGAGAAACAATTATTTTCACTAATAAAATATAAGTATGGTAGTGTGTAACAATGCTAAAGCCTCTCATATTTGCTTCTTGAAGACTTAGAAATAGAACTATAAAACTGTGTTAATAGTAATAGGAAGTGAGGACTCAAATCTAAGGCCTCTGGTGACTGAAGTGTGAACCAGCTTCATCTTCTAGATGTGTTTAGGGAGCTCCTGTGATGGCTGTTGTGAGAACAGAGCTGAAGAGCAAGAAATCGTAACAGTTATTGAAATAGGTATCTTGAAGCCCTTTCATAGCAAAGAAGAAAATCTTATGAACAATAAAAAGAAGAGATTTAAGCATTAAACCTAACAATGGAGACTACTTTACTGTTTGCTTACGCATATTTTCAAATATGTAATTATCTATTTAGCTGTAGGTTTTTGTTGACAAGTTCCTTTAGGTCCTATATATTTAAATGTTCTACTCTTTTTGAAGAACAAAAATCATCTTTTCTGATGCTTAGCTGGTGTAACTCTATTTCTTTCCATTTTCCATGATTCTCCTTAAGCCCTTTTCTCTTCCAAGAGTTGATATCAGAAACCACTATAACCTGTTTGTCTGAATTTTTTTTTTCATCCTTGACAGAGCCTTTCTTTGCTTTTAGAGCAGGTATTTTGAGTTCCTAAGACTTCCTCCTGAGCGGCGATTTCAGTCGCCTCCTGCACTATTCCTTCTATGGTTCCATACCCCCTTCCGTGGTCTCTGTGTCCCCCGCCCCAATCAGTTCTTTAATTTTGGTTTCCTCTGTTAGTCTCAGGGTGTGTGTGTGTGTGTGAGTTTGTTTTTTTAAACTTTTAAGTTTTTTGGACTACTTTCTAGATTTTATTTAATCGAGCCATATTTTGGTATTTCTGTCCTACTATTTCCTAGGTAGTGTTTATTTTCAGTTCTTTGCTATGACTTTTGTCTTTTCCAACTTCTGACCATCTTTCCGGTTCTTTCTAAATAAAGTATTTGCCATTGTGCTTTACTACTTTTTCATTCTACTTTTTGTGTCATCATTTTTTTCTTTTATTTCTTTGAAAGAAAGAATGTAATATAATTTGTTTGTGGCTTATCACATTTTTGTTTCATTTCTACAATGAAAGATGTATTTGTTGATCCCCTGTGGTCACATATATTCACATAAAATATATGTGAAATGTATTTTACTTTAATTTGAGTTTCCTTTTCCTGTTTTCCCCAAGCTGGTTTTATTGACTCTGGGTGTTATTCCAGCGTTTCTGTGGCTTGGCTGGACTTGACCAGCAGTGCTATTGCTGCCACCCTGTCATCCATTCGGCCACCTCTGCAGAGTGGTGGGTGGCAGAGCTGCAGGCTGAGCCCTGGTCTCCTTACTCCTAATTCGGTGATATTGCCATGATGCCATACTACCTCAAGAGTTGGAGACTCAAGCCGTTTTCTCTGTGATTGACTGTCAGCCCCGTTTTAAGGGTGCTAGACTTTCTTTAAAATGTCAACAAGTTGTCTGAGTAGCTCTGTTCTGACGGTGCAGCCGGAAAGCAGTAAAACCAGCAGGGTTGCTTTGTGTGGCCAGGTCAGGATGACCCAGGCTGTGCAAAGCCATTCTCAACCGTATTTTTTACGTATACACTTAAAAAAATCAATTAAACACTGACTTTTCATCTTGGAATTAGAGTTCAGTTAGACTGTGCAGAATGTTGAGCACTGTGACTCAACTATGTCGGTGGCAGTAAGAAAGGCAGCCTCTGTGTACCCAGTTTAAATTATCTGTAAGCACTCATGGTTGCTTAAATTAAGTACCCACCACGACTTATATTTGTACTACACCTTCAGATCCTGTGTTATAAAATGCCCAGGAAGTGATAGGATGCTGCATATGAATAACCAACTGTTCCTTTTTCTTTTTCCTGAAAAATTTCTTATAATAAAGCAAGGATGTAAAGTTTCCTGGACAGAAGACATCTTTAATATTACAAATAAATAATTGTTAAATATCAAATTGTTTTCTAAAGACTTCAAATTAATGTCTGTGGATCCCTTATAAAGCCAAAAGAATATCACCTCAATATTGCATATTGTATAGTATGAATCAGAATCTAAGTTGTGCTATGTTCATTTATTATTAGTAAATTTTACTTTGAAATACTAAATTTGGTAGATTAAATTTTTTTCAAAGCTTTAGGCAAGATCAGCTTACATATGTTACTTTGGAAATATTTGAAAATTAGAAAAACATTTTTTGAGGTCAGAACTCATGATTAAAAGGATAAAAAGGTATTATTAAAAGACATGGAATAAATGGCATCTGAATGATCTAATTAATTTCTCTAACTTTCTTTTTTTGCAATAACCATGAGTGTTTCATGTCTGAGTTGAAAGCAACACAACATTTCTATGATTTGTATTTTATTGTGTTTTCTGTGTGGCTTATTTGAATTGCATTAATCTCAATCTTTTGGGTGAGATTGGCCTTTTGCAAAAGGCACCCATTTGCCAGCCGTAAGCGCTCTACTTGTTTGAAGGTGGGTGTCCTGCAGAGTCTTAGACCTTGGGTACCAGCTGACTAAATATATAAATTACCAATTCCTCCATGGATAGAGAGGGTGATAGCCAGATTGCTTTTAGAGTAAATGGGAGAAGAAAGTCACATGAAAGAAGGCGTGAAGCATAAAATCCTTACCCTAGTGTGTCTTTCTATTGATCTAACTGAAGATCCTTTGTGGCACTCCTGGCCTAGGCACTCCGTCTTAATTAAAAACATGAGAACAACTTCTTTCATTGGTGGGAAAGAAGCCCGATTTTTAAACAAAGTATCACATCATGCTATGGTACATCACTAGGTCATGCTGACTTTATCTTCTTCAGACTGTCATGAACCAAACTGCATAGTCCTGCCCCCAGACAAAACCAAGCATTCCTTCTTGAAGAGGGAACTTAACGTGTGTACATGACACTTTTCTCCAGAGCAGTCCCTTACTCTTTTATGTATTTTGATAGGAAGACAATAGAGCCATTCTAAGGGATGGTGACAGATCTTGGTGACAGAAAGCGTCAAAATAATTAATGTAGGAGAATTGCAGAATATTGTAGGAAGGGATTATGGTTAGTTAGTTAAAAAAAGATTTATTAATAATTGTTCTGATGGCTTTTAATTTTATAATGGCCATTTGAAATTACCGTAATCTATAAATTGCATAGGAAATTCTGTATGATATTTAGCAAGAAGGAAAACTTCCTTTAACCTAAACAAATATTTGTATAACAATATTTTGTGATAGTCTGGCCACGATTTATTGTTGAAAACTACAAGTGATCAATTTAAGTGTTCAAGTCTGAGATTGGGTTTTTATCTCAATCTTCTGTTAAGGTTGAAAACATTACAGTTTATGACAACAAATGACCACTTCTCTACCAATTTTCTGTCTTGGTTCTAGCTGTGATATATGTCTATGTTGTTTTGGGCCTCAATAAACGTTCTTCAGAGATGATTATTAATAATAATATTATATGATGTTAATAGGAGTAATCATAATAATATCTAACACATGCAACATTATTTTAATTGCTTTACATAAATTAAGTTATTAAATCTTCCTTAAAATTCTATGAAGTAAGTACCATTTTTATCGCATGAGAAATTGAGGCACACATGACTTAAATCTTAAAGCTAGTTAAGTGGCATCACTAGAATTTCAACCCAGGCACTCGTGTTCCATTCCGTACTTTTAACCATTTTGATGTAAGGTTTCAATGTAATCAAAATTAAATTTCATCCTGTTAACAGATAATAAGTATCTGTGTGCTGAACATTGTACTAGCTTTAGAGTATGCAACAGTGAACAAGATGGGCATATTCCTTGCTCTTCAGAATTTGTTAGTAGCAGTGTTTGTGCTCCTGGCGTCCTCAGTGTGAGGGATACGCAGAACCTCGAGTGAGATGGTACCCGTGAGGTCATATAGACTAACCTCTCCCTCATGCATAAGGCCTTCAATTGTGCGCCCTTGTTCAGTGATGGAGAACTCAGCCTCTCATAAGGTAGCTCATTCTATTTCAAAGCAACTGTAAAGGGTCCTTCTCTTTGATAAAGATGGGGCGCTAGAAGGTACTGTTCTTATTCCTGGAGGTTGGCTGGCAAGGAGCTTAACTGTAAGTGTCACCCCCTTCAGCGTATTTTCTTTATGGAGAAGCCTATAAACTTAGTAAGAATTTCCTGCTCCATCTAGTGTATGTGGCAGCAACTTGTGCCACATTGCAGTAAAATACGGTTAGTTACATCAGGAGTTTCCTAACTCGTAGAAGCTCAAGAATTTCTCTATAAGAGATGCGGACTGTTTCCACGTCATTTAGATTTTTTGAGCAGGTCCAATTTCGGATGGTAAAATCAGGTTGTGTTTTTCATAGGTAAACAATTTCATTTCTACACTAGGTGGCAGTAGATAAAAGAGAATAAAATGTCTGCAAGCAGTCCGGACTGCGAGCTTGAGATTGAAAGGAAAGAGAGTCGTCCTCAGGTTTCTTATCCTTGCCTCAACCCTGGACTCAGAGCTGACAGGAGGAGGCTGTGTTTTCTGCCCTGTGGAACGGCCAGAAAGAAACACAGGTGCTGGCAGGCTGAGCGGATCATCCCTCATTCTCACCCGGCACAGTTCTAAGCCCTTCTTTACTGTAGCATGGGGATTACTGGGCATGTACACCTCCACCTTGAACACAATTGTCTGGATAATTATAAAAGCTTAATATTTCCAAAACTACAGCTATACCCAGCAAACAGGATAAGTGCTTTTAAAATCAGCCCACTCCTCTTACCACAGTCCCGCAAGTGTCTTCACTGTTGTCCCTACTTTGTTCTTGGCGCTCTACGTGTCTCTGTCAGATTAATCTTTCTAAAGCACATTTTAGCCTCCGCTTTTTCTGTACCTTCCCAAATTCCTTCACCCTCCACAATCTGACCTTTGCCAGGCTCTCTCATTACTACCCTGTGCAAAAGGATCACGTCAGCATTCACCTCTCTGTTCAGGAATGCTCTTTACCTCATCTCTGTCTCTGTTTTTGTTTCTAAACCTTTCTGTAAGGAGCTGTCTTGAGCCCTGTGTCCTCCATAGGAAGCCTTTCTCACTAAGTGCTCAGTCGGCGATGTCTCCTCTGAGGTTCTACAGTGCTCTTACTGTTGGTACCAGTCATTTTATGAAGTGCTGCTCTCTTTGTTGCCCTTTCCTTACTTCTTTGTATTCATAACGTTTAATAAGAATTTGGTGATGTGGTTTCTTTGTTTTTTTTTTTTGGTCTTCTCAAATTCTGAAATAACCTCCCTCAGAAGTAGTTGCCACTCTACTTAGTTATTCCCTTGCTTCTCTTTTTAATTTTACTGTATGTGTTTGAATCTATAATTAGAGGTTATTTCATTTTGGATGGTTTTAAATGTTATATAAATCGATGATACTGAATATATTTTTCTATAACTCGCTTTTTTATTTAAGATTAAAATCCTGAGATTCATACGTAGGGATCTGAATTCATACATTGATGTCTTGTTGCATGGAGTTGTAGTTCATTCATTTTCACTGCTTTATAGGATTCCAATGAATTTACCACAATTTATGTATCTATTCTACTGTTGATAAACATTTGGGGATTTCTGGTTGTGGGTTTTTTGTTTTGTTTTGCCATTACAAGCAATGCTGCTATAAACAACGTTGGCGTCATTGAGTTTTCTAGTTTTTTACAATCCTAGTAGGTGTTAAGTGGTATTTTGCTTTAATCATCTCTTTTTTAATTACTGAACTTTCTGAAAATCTCTTCATATGCTAGTTAACTGTTAGGTTTTCTCTTCTATAATTTTTTTGGGGGATTGCTGTCCTTTTCATATTGATTTGTAGATTTTTCTTATATATTTTAGATATTTGTCGTTTTTCAGTTTTAGACATCATAATATCCCTTCCTGTTCCATTATCTGATTGTTAACCTTGTGGTATCCATTGTTCAACAGAAACCTTTAATTTTGGTATAATCAAATGGATCAATTTTTTTTTCCTTATGATTTTGCTTTTGCAGCTTTTGTTTAGGATGTTCTTCTCGACCCTGGGTCACAAAGATATTCCTATACATTTACTTCTATTAACTTATAGTTTTAACATAGCGTTTAGGTTTCTAACCTATCTGCTGTCCACCCTTGTGTAGTATTGCACAGGGATCCAGACAGGGAGCCAGTTTTCTCGACTACATCGTCTCTCCTTTGCTGATTTGTGGCACCATTTTTCTTTTATATTTATTTTCCATATATACAGGGCTCTGCTTCTGAGCTCTTTATGTTAGACCTTTCTGTTTATTTAAGCCTTCTTTAATGTCTTTACATGAGTTTTATTATTTTTTTCCCATAAAGGTCTTATGTTTGTTTATTCTGATGTATTTTATAATCTTTATGGTATTGTAAATGATGTTTTTTTAAATTTTCATTTTCTAACTGTGTGCCGAAGTGCAGAAATGCAATTGATTTTGTATGTAGATTTTGGATCTAGTAAATTCTCTTATTAGTTCTAATAATTTAGCAGTCGATTCTCCTGGGATTTCTCCAAGATAATTATGTTATATATGAATGACAATTTTATTTCTTCTGTTCCAATTCTTATTTCTTAACACCTTTTATTTCCCTTTCTTGTCTTAATGAACTGGCTAGGATTTTTTTCTGCATCTTTTGAGGTGGGTCATTTTATTTTATTTTCAAAATCCCTCTATAGGTGAATTATACTAATTTTCTAATGTAAAATCATCTTTTTATTCCTGGGATAAATTTAACTTGGTCATGATGATCTTTTCTTATACATTGATAGATTCTGTAGGCTAATATTTTGTTTAAAATTTTTGCATCCATGTTAATGAATATACCAATATGTTTTAATTTTAGAATATATTAGGAAACACCCTCTAGGTTGTTACAAATCACATCCAGTTTCTTATGGTATAAAATCTAATATTAACTTTTTTTTTTTATATACGCAGATTAATCCAAAGCTTGAAGTGATCGACTTGCAGAGCTCTACTCCCCCAGTTGTGGACGTCCTTTCTTTTGATTCTACCACAGTAAGTTTTCTTTGACATTTAAGATGTATTTAATTATTTGGCACAATTCATTTTCCTTAAAAAGTGTGTAGGAGAGGACATAAAAGGTGGGCTAAATAGCCTAACATTTTAGCATAGAAAAAACCTTGTACAAAAAGTCATATTTACAATGTGTCTAAATAGCCGCAAGGGGGAGCAGCACCGATTTCCAGAAAAAGCTTTTAATTTGAGGACCTTGCTTGAGCTCAGTCTAATCCATGTTCACTGTCTCATCTCCTATCAAGATGCCACCCAGGTGACGTTTCACTTACTGTCACAGAATAGACTTTCTTCTTTGTTAACTGCCTTTCAGAGGTGCCAAGTTTACTTCTTGTCTTCTCCTAAGAAGCTATGAGAAAAGCGGTCATGTCCCTTTGTTCATCCCTCCTGATGGATTATGCAGAAATTAAAAAGTATTTCTAATACTTGCAATTTTGTTTATAAAAATTACATACATATAATTTATTTACTCAGTGTATCCAACATCTTCAAAGATTGAGAGTTTCAGCCTTTCAATCTGAGTCTTTTCAAGGTGGATCATTGCTGCGTCGATTCTACTAGTCACAAGAACGAATGGGAGGAATGACATGGTCTTTGGCAGCACTACTGTGATGGTGTCAGTATAGTTAAATATTTTGGGTAAATTATTAATGCATGACCAAAAAAGAAAACAAACAAAAATCTCAACATCATGACGTTACAAACTCTCCAAGAGATCTCAAGGATTGTATTTATTGTAGAAGACTTCCACAGAGGAACTAGTCCATCTTGAGTCTGTCCTGCACCAGAAAGAACTCTAATTATTAAAGCGTGCTTTCAGTGTTACTCCCAGGACAGAGAGAACTCCTAGATCACTTGTGAGAGGTTCCAGCGACAAGAAATCACTGTGGGGGCAGCCAAGGGGCTGATTGTCAAAGGGAAGCCCAGGAATCGGTGGTGACAACTAGGACCTCAGGCGGGTCAGTGGTCTTGTCTTTTACAGTGTTCCTGTTTATAAAACAACCCTACTAGCATTTCTGCATTAATAACTTACTTATGCAGTTAAAAATTAGCTAGACATCTAATTCTTGCCTCAGTGCTTGGATATAGAAGGTGCTCAATACATTCGTGTTCAATGAATTACTCCAAAGGTGTGCTGTTGAAACTTACAAATTATGGTGAGTTGGATTTTTGCCCCTGTAGTAAAAGGAACAAAAGGTAGGTGGTTTTTGAGATGTGCTGCCTTTTTGTGAGGTAGTCAGTAGACTAAAATTGGGTGTTCTTGGCCTAGAGGGTATCATAGATCATCAAAAATCTTTACTCCACACTTTGAGACTCACTCTCCCTGCCAGAATCCTTAAAGCTTTGCAAAGCCTCATGACCTAAGGAATCCAGGTGTTTTGACAGTGTGCCGTGGAGGTGGGCATAACTGCCGCTTAGCAAGTGGGAGCAGGGTGTCTGTCCCTGATGATAATCTGGAGGTACCCAAGTCAGCTAGTCTAGTTACAGGACCCTAACTCAGGAATACAGTGTATGTGGGATGTCGAGAGGACCATTCTGTATAGTAAACACATGACAAGTTTGCAGTTGTGCTACGAAACAGAGTAAGAAGACTGAAGAATGCAACTATACACATAACGGATAATATTAGGTTGAATTATATGAAATTGCCGTTTTGTAGGCAAAAATGATCTAATATCAGTGATTTCCTGTGGTTCAATGCAATATATAAGCATTAAAAGGAATTCACTGTTACTTTGAGTTGTGTGCTTGATACTACATAAAAAGAAAACAAACAAGAAAACAGGGAAACAAAAACTTGTTTGCTATAAATTGGTTTGGGATTAGGCTGATGAAGTCCCATCTAGGTCGATTCTTTTACAATTTGGAAGAAATCTGCTTGCCTTAAGGCAAGGTATAAAGACTCCTGCTTTTACTAGGGCATTCTCTGAAGACCATAGATGCTCATAAAGCGTTTAGATTTTTATAAAGAATGTCTCTGAAGTGCTTTCCTTTGAATTTTCAATATATATATCTTTCTTTTAGCTCATTGATAGATAATTGATTATAAAATGAAAGTGAAATCACTTTAACTGTTTACCTTCCCATTAATCTACTGGTAAGTAATTCTTCATCTGTAGTCTCCTCTGTACATTGCTTCTGCACAACAAATCAGACACAATTGTAAAGGAGATTTGTTTCCCCTCTGGCATGAAGCACAACTGCATTAAATATTTGTGGTGTGAACTTTGCATGTGATTATAATTTAAAAACCCAGAGAAATATTGGAAGCCAAAAAAAACAGTGTTTAAAGGTAGTTTTGGTTTTTGTTATTGTGGTTACTGTTTATTTTGGAAATTTATTTGCTTGGTTTTTGTAGATTGGAAGAAAGGTTCCTTAGAAATTCATTTTATCAAGATGAGACATAAGATTACTGTTTCAACCTTAATTTGTGAAACTTCTTAGTAGGATAAAAGCAGGTTTGTTGTGGTCTAAGAAATAGTTGGCTTCTATTCCTGCTTTGCCTTAATTTAATATTATGTTCAGGATGATTTCTAGATCTAAGTTTACTGATATCTTATCTATGCTCTGATGCCTTCTTACTACAGAGAAGAAATTATGGCCTATAGTCTAACAGTTAGTATCTTTGTGACTTGCACTTGTGTCTCTAATGCCAGGCAGGAATTTGATACAATATTTTAGGATCAAAATAAGCTGTTACCAATCTGCATTTTTAAAGCTTTGTTGTAAAAAATGTTTCCGTAAAGGCATGTACTGGCTGTCGTATAGATGTAGTTTAAAACTGTTGATCTTAAATTCCTGAATCTTTATTCTGATTGTTATCACTTATTATATACTGATTTTCTAAAGATTATTTAGTTCAAGGTCCATTGAGTCTTTTAGTGTTTTTGTTTATTCAGTTACAACTAGACCAGGGTTTTGTCGTCAAAATTGTGTAAGGGCGTTTAGCATTAGCACTGACATGTGATGTGGCTACATGGGATGTTCCAGATCCTCTCACATCCTCTCCTCTCCCTCCAAAAAGAGACTAGCAAGATAGGAATTTCTCTTCTGTATCCTAATGTAAAGTTGTTGTTTTTTTTTAAATACTGACTGTAAACAAAATTTATTTAAAATACTCTAGGATTATTAAAATGTTTTGTTATTTTTAGGCAAACTATATTCCTAAATTTTGACATATTAATTTTATTATAATTTGTCCTACAAATGAACAAAATGAAATTGATAATCTCGTAGTGTCTTCTGATTGCTTGTCAAAATGCTGGACTCTTCTCAGAGAACTGAAACAGTGTTCTTGTCTTCATTCTGGCAACTGTGTAAAATATGAACATAATGTGTATGCCTTACTGTAGAATTAAGGACAGTATTTCAGGTCAAATTAATTCTTTACAATAAACTGAGAATTTGCAATTACATTATAGAAAAAAATCAAGAGTCTACAGTCTTTTGTTGCTCCATCAAGTATTTAAAGTTTTACTGCATTGAAGGCATTACAGGAGATGCTGAGGGGGATGTCAAGCTGGCTGCCTGACCTCGAGAAACTTACAGCCTAGCCAGATACAAATAACAACATGAGAAGTAAATGGCAGTTTCAATATACTAGATGCCAAGTGTACATGATTGTCAAGTGAAAAGTTGGTAATGGGCATAGTATTCCAAACAGATCATTAATGGGCTGGTGGAAACTAGCGGACTTCTCTAGAAGAAAATCTTTAACCAGTTCTTGACCTGACCAGAGATGGGTAGGGTTTTGATAGGGACATTCCAGGTGAGGAAAGAAAGGTATAAGTAGATGCCTCAGAAGTAATTGAAGAGATGTACCATGGTAATAAAAGTGCATAATTCTAGTTTGGGGTCTTTAAGTTGCCTCAGTGGATAGCAGATGTGGTAGAATGCCAGGAGCACACCCACTCACACACATGTATGTCTTTCAATCAATATTTATTCTGTGCCATTCATTGTTCTTGACTTTAGAAAAAATGAACAAAACAAAAATACCTGCCCCGGAGAAGCCTATGTTCTACATTCTAGTGGAGGAGAGAAGCAATTCACAGATTAAAAAAATAGACTATATAGCGTAGTGGACTGAAAAAAATGCGAAGGTGAAAAAAGCAGTGAAGGCAGATGGGGAGAGAAGTGCATTTTAGGTAGTTTGTCCAGGACATGAGTCATGTGAAAGGTGACTTTTGAGTAAAGAATTGAAGGAATGAAGGGAACAAGTATGCAAATATCTGGGAAGGGCGCCCCGGACAAGTGGGAGCATTGCTAGAAGGCCAGAGTGAGAGTGAGTTAGGGGCCCCGGTAGGCTTTCCTGCGGAGGAGCGACATGATCTGACTGTTTTAACAGGTTCCCTCTGGCTACTGTGTGGAGAGTCAGCTGGAGGTGGTCGTGGAGGGGAGCGAGCAGACTGACGAGGAAGCTCATCCAACAGGAGGCAGCAGTCGCTTGATGCAGGGTGCTAGCAGAGGAGGTGGTGATAGGCTATCAGATTTTGCATATATTTTGAAGGCAGAGCCAAGAGGATTTCCTGACAGATTGAATGTCAGCTGTGGGATTCCCTGTCTCCTTTCCCCAGGGACAGTAAGGTGTACCCTGAATAATCTCAGGGTAGCTGAGATTTTCTCCTGGCTCTGCATCATTTTGCTGGAGGGGTTGCTGAGAGAAAAAAGAATTGATCCTCTTTTCTAGGATCAGGAAAGTGATCAGCTGAATCAATGCAAGAGATAACTCTGCTGTTTCTGTGACTTTGGGAAGTTCAGTGGTAAAACACACTCCTCCTTCCTAGATGTCATTTAGGTTTGTGTTTTTCAGCAAAGTGCATTGGTTTCCTTTTTGGAAAGATTTTCTCATCAGCCTATTTTTAGGAAGAAAAAGATTACACACTTTCATAGAGATTGTCATATGGTATATGCTATCTGAAAAATATTAACGTATTGACAAAATATGTGGACATACAAAGAGTAAACTTGCAGATACAGAG